AAGGACCCTCAATAAATTGTAACATAAAGACAGCTATGACTACATGCAGACTAGATTTCCAAGGACCCTCAATAAATTGTAACATAAAGACAGCTGACTACATGCAGACCAGATTTCCAAGGACCCTCAATAAATTGTAACATAAAGACAGCTATGACTACATGCAGACTAGATTTCCAAGGACTCTCAATAAGTTGTAACATAAAGACAGCTATGACTACATGCAGACTAGATTTCCAAGGACCCTCAATAAATTGTAACATAAAGACAGCTATGACTACATGCAGACTAGATTTCCAAGGACCCTCAATAAATTGTAACATTAAGACAGCTATGACTACATGCAGACTAGATTTCCAAGGACCCTCAATAAATTGTAACAAAAAGACAGCTATGACTACATGCAGACTAGATCTCCAAGGATCCTCAATAAATTGTAACATAAAGACAGCTGACTACATGCAGACCAGATTTCCAAGGACTCTCAATAAGTTGTAACATAAAGACAGCTATGACTACATGCAGACTAGATTTCCAAGGACCCTCAATAAATTGTAACATAAAGACAGCTATGACTACATGCAGACTAGATTTCCAAGGACCCTCAATAAAGTGTAACATAAAGACAGCTATGACTACATGCAGACCAGATTTCCAAGGACCCTCAATAAATTGTAACATAAAGACAGCTATGACTACATGCAGACTAGATTTCCAAGGACCCTCAATAAATTGTAACAAAAAGACAGCTATGACTACATGCAGACTAGATTTCCAAGGACCCTCAATAAATTGTAACATAAAGACAGCTATGACTACATGCAGACTAGATTTCCAAGGACTCTCAATAAATTGTAACAAAAAGACAGCTATGACTACATGCAGACCAGATTTCCAAGGACCCTCAATAAATTGTAACATAAAGACAGCTATGACTACATGCAGACTAGATTTACAAGGACCCTCAATAAATTGTAACATAAAGACAGCTATGACTACATGCAGACTAGATTTCCAAGGACCCTCAATAAATTGTAACATTAAGACAGCTATGACTACATGCAGACCAGATTTCCAAGGATCCTCAATAAATTGTAACATTAAGACAGCTATGACTACATGCAGACTAGATTTCCAAAGACTCTCAATAAATTGTAACATAGACAGCTGACTACATGCAGACTAGATTTCCAAGGACCCTCCATAAATTCTAACATAAAGACAGTTAAGAATACAGGCAGAGCTAAAATCATCAAGACAGGAAATTGCTTCCTGCTCAATATAGTCTTCATAGGGACTTCATCAATCAAAACAAAGCATCTGTTTACACAAGAAATTATTTTCCCGATACAGGAACAAAGTAAACAATCTTCATGATCCAATTGTTTGTCATATAGTTTGTTAACCTTTTATAAAAATATCTAAATTGGTTATATCTTCTTGTCATGATGGAAAAACAATTAATATCCTATGAACAATTAATCAGGATGGAGAAAACAATTTATTAACAGGAAAATCTTCATCCTTTCTTGTCAACAGCAGGTGCTTGTTTACAAGGTAGACTTCAAAGACAGCCCAATATATTGGATATTTGATGGACTGTTTTCATGACAGATCCTTGACATTAAAGGAAGTAGATGCTGGTACAAAGAGGTGAAGAATTGGTGTGTGAAAAAAATCAAGCAATGTCAAAACATGGCTTTCAATATCATGATCAGACTTTTTTGAACTTAGACTTATAGTTAGAAAAATCAACCTTTCATTGATTATGATAATTCCTTGTGAATTTGCATACTTATGATGGATAGTTTTATCGTGTGGTTTGAAATGTTTTTGTTTGACTTTTTTTATATTCTTACTTTTGGTTTGCTAGATTATATTGCTTGTTCTATTTAATTTTCTTTTATTTTTGTGCTTCTAAATCTTGAATATTTTAAATGACCTATAATACTCCTGGTTTAGAAATTTTTGTCAAATTTTGTTATTTTTCAATCACAAAAATGTTTGAGAGTAACAGTTATTATTCAAGGATTTACTTTGATTTGCATTTTTAATAAAATTTGAATAGTAAAAGGCTCCTTGTTTTTAAATTCATTCGTTTTCATAATCTATATGATAATACAGCACAGTAAACAGGATTGGTTGTGGATTTTTCCTTAACATCCAGTAGCAAATATTTCATGCATTCACAAATCAACATTGATATTAAAAAAAAAACATTTACAGAAACACCATGGGTGCATTAGACAATAAATAGAATTGAGAATGAAAACAGGGAATGTGTCAAAGAGACAACAACCTGACCAAAGGGCAGAAAACAGCCCAAGGCCACCAATGGGTTTTCAACACAGGAAGAAAATTCCACACCCAGAGAGGGTGCTTCAGTTGGCCCCCTAAACAATAATGTATACTAGTTCAGTGATGGTTGAGATAATAATGGATTGTATATATATATATATATATATATATATAGAGGAAACAGAATTTTTCTTTTTGGTTTTGGTAATGAAGACTGTAGTCTGCTTCAAGTATATTTGCAAGATGGCTGGCAAGGGATATGTGACTTAAAGAATAGCTTATAAAGAATAATAATATATAAGTAGATAAATTAAACATTGAGCATTGGCGTTTAGGGATATGTAACTTTCAGACTAATTCAAGCTAAAATCTGTTATAAATAATGCATAATTAAGGGTAGTGACTTTGTAATTTATAATGTGAGGTGCCAAAAAGAGATCATTTTGTATTAATAGTAATATCTCAACTATTTCTATGTGATATTTATCAAATAGCTGCTGTGACCTTGACCAAATGACCACAACATCAATAGGGGTCTTCCTCACCCCATGGGGCATTATCAATCAAGTTTGGTACAAATCAAACATACACGGTTAAAAAAATAACATCTAAAAACAAAACTTTCCACAAATTTCAGTCTATTTCCATTCTCAATTTTATTAATAGCTGCTGTGACCGTGATCCAATGACCTAACAGTCAATTCTTAGTCTTTCTTAACCCAATGGGCAGTATCAAACCATGTTTGGTAGAAGTAGAAAATATGATTCAAAAGACAATATTAAATAAATGGGGAATGTGTCCATGGGACACAGATGATGCCCCAGCTTGCATATAACCTTATAAAGGGACATAACTCAAGAACGGTAAAAGTGACACTACCCAATTTTGTACTTGATCTGAGTTTTGTGGTAATAAGCATTGTGTATAAGTTTCATAACATTTGGAAGAGGCAAACTTAAGTTAGAGAATAAAAACAAGGATTTGGCAATTTTTCCATTTGTAAAAGGGGCATAACTCTAGAACAGTAAAAGTGATGCCACCAAAATTCAAACTTGATCTGTGTTTTGTGGTAATAAGCATTGCACATAAGTTTCATAACATTTGTTTGAGGCCAACTAAAGTTTGAGAACGGAAACGAAAATTTCCGCATAACTCTAGAACAGTAAAAGTGACGCCACCAAAATTCAAACTTGATCTGTGTTTAGAGGTATTAAGCATTGTGTATAAGTTTCATAACATTTGGTTGAGGCAATCTAAAGTTAGAGAACGGAAACCAATTTTGGGACGTACGGACGTACAGACTGATAAGGGTAAAACTTAATGCCCCCTCTGTTACGGCGGGGGCATAAAAATTGGCCAAATTTAGCTGCTGTGACTTTTGACCTTCTGACCCCTAAACAAATTGGTGTATTCTTTACCCTGTGGGGAATTCTCAAACCAAGTTTAGGGCTTAAAATCTTGATGTCCAGATAACTCCTTGACACCATTTGTCAGATTATAAGCAAAGTTTGAATTTGAATGAATCAAATGCAATGTTCCTAGAAATTTGAATCTTTTCTTACGGAGCAAGTTTTATATTGTCTGTTTTATTTAGATGTTCTGCAGTTTGTTTCAAATTAAAATTTTTAATTATACATGATTTGACGTCATTAAATTCAAAATTACTTTATCTAAATTAATATCTATCATGTCTTTATAAGATTTCTTAGTGCTAAATTTAAGATATTTATAAATAAAACGATTAATTGTTAAAAGTACAGGGTTTCAGCTATAAATGACATCTTGAATTATTTATAGAAACATCAATTGGTCCTAAGAAAAAAATTTCATTCAGTGCATTGTTGTCAGGAAATAGCTTTCAAATGAAAACTGTAAGCTGCAATTTGTAAATATTTTTATATTACTTGTAGATCATTCATTGAAAACTGTAAGCTGCAATTCCTGTCAAATTAATGACCACTTAAACTAAAAATAAACTCCTTAAAATGTATATTTGGAAATGATCCATTTTAGTACTGATATTCTTGGCAATAAGTAAATGTGTAGCAATGCATGCTGACTTATCTAATTTAGAGTTGAGAGGTGTTTATTTAGCATCTGACAATTATTTTAACTCTTATCACACCTCTTTTAACCACCTACGCATCAAACAATCTCTTTCTTGTACTGAAAATAAAAAGCTCATTGTCTAAAAGTATAGCGCTAATGGTCAGTCAAATTTATACGTTTCATTTTTTAAAAATGAGTATGGGTAGGATATTTTTTCGTTTTGCTGATTTTTGGTACTTTGAATAAACATGACAATTGTTTAGCTCTTTTTAACTATCAAAAGAAATAATTTACTGTTTTGCTTAGAAATACATGTAGGCCATAATATTGGAAAAACCTCAAAGGGAACACATGCAGTTATGATGCTGTGAATTTAAGTAAAGATTGAAAGACATTTTGAAAATAGCCCTACATGGTGTGAAATAAATTCAAGGGAAATTGGCCCCTTTCATCTTACTGTGAGGTCCTTTAATTTGAACAAAAACATTTTACATTTATTCTGAACTTTGATTAATTTGTTGAAAACTATAATCACTGGTGAAATTCAAAATATATAGAATTTTTCAATTGTATGCTAAAACTTTACCAAATTTTCTTCAAAGTTTGTAATTTTAAGAAACTGAAAAAGTAGACATCAAATATATATACAAACCTAGAGTCAAAAATCATTTCAACAAAGTGTTTCATGAATTCCATACACTCAAGGGTAATCTCATCAGGCTGGCTGTCAACACTGTATGATGATGTCCAAGAGATTTCTGACCCCATTGATTCAGATCGTTGCATTTCATTTTGATAATCACCATATTCTGGTTCTGAGGAATCTACACTTCCAGCAAAATAATTAATGTCTGAGCTGTTAGTACTACTAACACTTTGTAAGGGTGACCTCTTTTTTGGTGAAAGATTTTCATTTTCATCCGGTTCTGTATCATCATCAAATGATATAAGGTCACCCATGACGGCTATTGTCTTTCTCGTATGCGGTATCAAGTCTTCCCCAACAGTATCTCTTGATTCATCAACCATTTCCGATTTTTCTTCTTCTTCTTCAACAGGGGGATTATAATCATCAAACAACATTTCATCGACAGTACTTGACCTTCGTTTTAACTTTGGGGGTTTTTTACTTTCATTTGGTTCATTTGTTTTGTCAGATGTACCATTCACGGTACCATTTTGTTTTCGTATTGGATCAACATCTGCATTGTTTACTTTTTTTATTCCAATACACTGCGACTGTGGAACATGGACATCAGCTTTGATTTCATGATTTGTGGTATTAGGCTGTACCACATGGTTTGATGAAGTTTTCACATCAACTGAATTAGTTTTATTGTATTTGAAAGCATCATTCTTTAAAGTTGGAGAATACAAAGGTTCCTCAAAACTCATATTTAAAGGTCGTGGTTGAACAATTTCTTTTCTACCACTGTCGGAATGTCCCGAGGGACTATGCTTTGTATTTGGCTGTTCAGGCTCCTGATCTGAATCATATAATACATTTGTACCATAATTATAAGCATCAGCACTAGAAAATCTATTGGTCAGTTTAGGAATACCTTCCTCACTGCTAAAACTATCGCTACTACTACTAGTTTTCATCACATTATCAAACTTATTTGACAAATTGTTTATCAATCCATTTTTCTTTGCAACCATTGAACTGAAAAATCTACTTGTGCCCTCGGACAAACTTGATGATAATGACGATTCATCATCGCTCCCTCCTTTGGATAATCTTCTACGAACAAAATCCATTTTCAAATCCTTTGCATTCCTGTGGCTATCTTAGTAAAACACACAACGTTCGTCTAAAATTATGGCGCTCAGCACTCCTGAAAATGCATGATAGAATTAATAGACGGAACAAAACAGTAAATCAATTAAATTGATAACTAATTATTACTGTTTATTGCACTGCCAACTTAAAGAAGGATCCCACTAATAAAATCAATGAGGTAACACAAAATACAATGGAAGACAAATATTTGGAATAAATATAGATTTCACAACTCTGGTAATGGTTTCATTGATCTATTCTACTTAATGATTGTTACTATGAAATCTTCATTAGGCTCATGTGAATGTGTACAGACTTTTTTCCGGTGTAAGTCAATAGTTTGTAAGATGATTATTCGAGTCTGACATCATTCTTTCATCATTTCAAGAAAAGGAATTATGAATGAGTGAATTCTAATAAATAAATCTTACCGTTATGACTCAATAACCTACTTTATTTTGCAACAATTTTTGACTTTTATAACGATATTAGTTTTAAGATAAAGCCTTAATTATATTCATCTTCTGACTCTGAGATGGAATCCGTCAGCATTGAGATGCATTGCAGATATTCAAGAAATACTATCTTGATATAAAAAGCTAACTTGCAACTCCATTAAGCACTGCTAAGAAAAGCATTCCCCGATGTAGGGTTAATAATGGGTGATTTTTCATAATGCCATGATATGGCTCATTAATTGTCCTAATTGACCTTGCATTGAAATAGGGAATATGCTCTACCAATACCTATATAAGCATTTGACCAAGAGATTCAAGGTGCCAAGCCTTAATTTCATATTCAGTATTGTGACCTTGACCTTTAATTACTGACCTTTAAACCTCGTCATAGACAAGAAGTGGAACCATGTAACATGTTTGGTGAAGATTTAATGCCCTGGATTGTTAACAGTGATAAATTACAAAGTGATGTTGTGACCATGAAATATAATAAAAAATCAAATGATTTAGTAAATTTGTTCCTTTAATATAAAATTTGTTCTTAAATTGTGTTGTTACACCCCTGTCCACGGTTAGGGTGAGGACTAGGCACACAAACATATTAACCCTCATCACATTTGTTATGTGCCTGTATGTCCTAAGCCAGGGGAACCTGTAATCCAGTAGTTGTTATTGTATGCTTGTCTGCCATATATGTTTTTCATTCTTTCTTCTTACACCTAGATTTGTATTGACATTTCAATTAGAGATCACAATATCAAAACTATTCTTTCCCTCAATTTCTAAGGATCATAACTCTGAATGCCCTCACAAAAAATTAATTCTGTATTTCATGGTCATTTAAGTACTAACTACAATTAGGGACAATGGTCAAAAGATATAAAAATAGTTGTCAGTGAGACAACCATCCAACAGAGACCAAATGATGAGGATGTAAACCACTATAGCTTACACTGTACAACCTTCAACAATGAACAAAATTTATATCATGTAGAACTAAATGCTCCTGGGTATAACAAAATGTGGTATGCTTGCCAATAAGACAACTACCAGAGATCAAATGTCATGGATGCAAGCAACTATAGGTCACCATTCAGCCTTCAAATGTTGTTTTATCTTCCTGAACAATTTTTTGGAAGAGGAAAGAAAATATTAACGTCAACTACATGTATCTGCTTTCACTTAATGAAAAATTAGACAAAGATTTTAATAAACCTATACCTTCAACAATAGACAAAGATTTCAATAAACCTATACCTTCAACAATAGCTGACAATCATTTTGATTAATAATATACTGTTATATCTTATGGAGTACTCAATTTTTAAGGATGAAAAAAATCATTTTAACAAAAATACAGAACTCCAAGGTATCAAAAAGGGGGAATTCCATAAAACCTGACAGAATCAAACGTTAGACTTTATCAACCAATGGAAGGAATGGAAAACAACTGGAAACACAGTTCATGTCAGGCTACAGTTAAAAGTCATTGAATTAATTATTTAAAATGCATTCCCTTGAGACCTTCACAAATGACAAGCGAAACATATTTCATGCAAAAATTCTAATTTGACTTGAGGATACAGATATCCATGATTAAGTATGTTGTTGCACAGACAGCATGAATATTTACATGTACATATGGGGGATAATAAAAAAAAGTTCCAATACATGACAAAAAGAAAGGAAGAAAGCAAGTTGAGCTAATCAAGTAAAAACTAATGAAATAAAGAACTGAGCCATCTAGGGCATGATACGCCCATCACCGTTTTAGCTCATCTTTATGCTTTAAATGAATTTATAGGATCAACAAGAAATACTGTGAGCACTGCTCAAATAGACACTCCCCCCCCCCCCCCCCCCCAAAAAAAAAAGACAAAACAAAAAATATGCACACACAGTGGTACCCGTTGACACTAAACACAAATAATTAAATTGGCACTATCAAGGCTTCTCAAGTTTAACTTAGTTTGTGTCCTGGATTTTTGAATGAATAAATTCTATAACCGTCCAAAGTGTAAAAAATGGACAGTTTTCAACAATTTTTCAATGAATAAGTTCCATAACTCTGCAAAGTCATATCAGAAATTAAAAAAAAAAAAAAAAAAAAGGGAGCTTCTTTCAATAGATATAAAAAAGTAACCAAAGTTTCATGAAAACTGCTCAAAGTGTTCTTCAGTTATTGTCTGAAAAACTGGAAAATCCCCCCTTTTTAATGAATAAAGTCCCAATGCTCCATAAAATAAAATCAGAAATTTTAAAAAATCGAAAGGGAACTTAAGTCAATATATATAAACAATTCACCAAATTTTCATTAAAATTGCTCAAGGCATTTTTGAGGTATAGTCAGAAAACCCTCTTTTCCAATGACCCTCAATTGTTCATTATTACCTTCATTCGTGTTAAACTTCAGTACAAAACCTGACTGTAGGATTTATTGTTGATTTGTTCTGGTCTGAATAAGCATGAAATATTTGCCACTGGACAGTAAGCAAACCTTTATCAATAAGATTTCTAAATGGGGATTTCCAAGAGAGTTTGGAATGGACACATGCTACTATTTATAGCCATAAGAAGAATTTAAACTTGTAATGACATTTAATTATCTTTTAACTTTACCAATTAAAAAGAAATCTTAAATGAATATTTTGCCAAGTAAGCTGAATTATATCTATATGAGTGGAAATCAAACTAAAGAACTTCTCTTCATTCTGTTGATTATTAGTAATTTCAAACAATAGTTTTTCCATCAAAATGTCTTTTATTGCTGTCAACGTGCCAACTTTTTCTTAAACAACACTATTGTATCTATATTGTCTAAGAAACTATCTGAAATCTTGTAGCATGTTAATTCCCAGACCAGTCATACGTCTTTATCTGACTATACAAGTTCCTCAGATCACAAAAGGTTTAAATGTTACACACAACAGGGAACAGAATGTTATTCAAGATATATTTCCCAGACAGACATGAATAAAACTTCCCAAATGCTAATTTAATTTATTTCACTAAAGCACTGACTTAGCCTTAGGCTTGTTTCTATCATAAAATAGTAATACATATTTCTTCCAATAAGTTTTTTATATTTTTATAATCTGAAACTTTTACGAAAAAAGGAAACTAAAATGTGCAATTAAATGACTTTTGCTATTTTGATGACCAATACAGAGAAATTATGATCATCTTAGGTAGAAAAGATAAGATCTTTAATAATATAATATCTACAAAGTGCTAATTGAGAAAATAGTCAAATTATGTTTTTCTTCTTCTATAAAGTAGTTATATACCAGTACTAAAATATAGTATACAACAGTCAATGAGTGCACTGTTATGTTTAAAAGTAATATTCCAGTACTAAAATATAGTATACAACAGTCAATGAGTGCACTGTTATGTTTAAAAGTAATATTCCAGTACTAAAATATAGCATACAACAGTCAATGAGTGCACTGTTATGTTTAAAAGTAATATTCCAGTACTAAAATATAGTATACAACAGTCAATGAGTGCACTGTTATGTTTAAAAGTAATATTCCAGTACTAAAATATTGTATACAACAGTCAATGAGTGCACTGTTATGTTTAAATTCTAATTGGCAAACAAACCACATCTCCTTATTTTTATATGGAAATAGTATCTTTAGACTATAGGCTCTCAAGAGCCTGTGTCGCTCACCTGTATGTACTGTGGTTTTAGAAATCATGTAAAATAAGGTTAAAATCATATAGATACCCTAATAATGATTGAGGCCAAGTTTGGATTAATTTGGCCCAGTAGTTAAATCAAAAGCAGAAGATTTTTGAAAAGATTTACAAAAAATGCCAATAAATTGAAGAAAATAACTTTAAAGGACAATAACTCAAATAAGATGTCAATTGCCAATTGGTCATGTTAATTTATTTCTAGATCTTTCTTTGCTTGATATTTTTGCTGTTTACAGTATATCGATCTCAATCTATAATGATATTCAAGATAATTAACAAAAAATTCAAGAATTCCTTTCCTCCGCTCTAAAATTTATTTCATCCAGTGCCTGTATAATGCTGAAAATGCCTTTTAAATGTTTTTATGGAACACCCTTCAAAAAATATTTCGGCAGGGGTTCCCCTGACCTCGACTAACCCACCAAGTCTAAGGGGCATTCACCCAATATAAGTATGCTGAAAGAAAAAATATAATAATGGTTTATAAAAAAAGTAACACTGAATCATTCGAAAGAACATATCAAGGAGAAATTATTAGCACCCCCCCCCCCCCCCTGAAAAATTGCACTCTCTGGAAAAAAAATCAAGTCATCCCATTGTAGTCCTACAATAGTTACTGAAGACCCCTTCTCATTATTTAAATTAGTTTTTAAGTTGTGACCATTTGAAATTGTTTATTTACATTCTATAGTAAACCCCTATGTTCTATTTTTACCAATGGGGACCATGTTGGTTGTAGGGCAGGGTCATCGGATACATTTTTTAATCAAGATACTCTAATAATAATTGTGGCTAAGTTTAATTCCATTTGGCCAAGTAGATTAAGAGGAAAAGATTTTTGTAAATGATTAAAATGATTAAAATAAAATTTTGAATCAAAACCAAAAAGTAT